GGGGGGGGGGGTACTGGCCTGTTACATAGCAGCTCCTATGCTGTTACATCACCGTGGGCAACATTACTGGCAATGCATGTTACCGCGTCTCACTGAGTCCACGATTCTCAACAAGTGTTGTGTACCAGAACAGTTGTACTGACGACCTAGAGTTACTAATTTGTAAAATCATGTAGTGTGGTGGACAATAAATCAAGTTCAACAGTTTCATCAGCAACGTTTGATCCAGTGACTTCTTTAGTAAACCCTCTCTCATCAGAGCAAGGCTCATTAAGCACTAAAGAGAATCCCATGCTCACACCCTGAATATTATTCCCTTTTTCTACCCTCAAGCCATTCTTGGCACTTTAACATAGTTCTAAGACCACGCGGCATTCAACAACTACAACCAAAGCTACATCACCGAAGGCATGAAGAGAAGAGCAGTTATAATAGGGACCAGTGGCAGGCTCCAGTGAACACAGTAATGTACCTCTGGGTTCCATAAGATGTTGGGAAAGTTGAGTAACTGAGTGAATGGCAGCTTCTCAAAAAGTTCTCAGCTCCATGGAGTTAGTTAATTATGATTGGCTGGAACTAATTTCACAGTGTTTTTGTATATATTTCTCTGTTAGGCCCACATGAATACTCACTTGCATACATCATTGGTGTGAAAATCATCAACAGGTGTGTCAGCATTAACACACAAATGCAGTAGCGTCTGACCATCTCTCATAGCAACTTCCAACTGATTCAAACGGAAGACTAGACGGTTAACATGAAATTCTTCTTTTTTCGTACAGAACTTCATGAGTTTCGTAATTATAACTAAAATGTATAGGACTGTTGTTACATTACTCTCCAATTCCTCCTGTAACAAAAGGATTATAACCTAGGCTACAGAGAGCTGAGAAACATATAAAGTTTTGTTTGAAACTGTAGAGTGAACAGACCATATGGGAGCCCAAGGCACTTATGGGAATAAAGAAAATAAATGAATTCATCTTAGAGAGAAATGGTGTAGGGAGCTGAACTGGAGTGAGATGACTTTGGATGTGGTGTGTTTTGTGGACATGTTGATGAACTTTAAGACTGCATTAAGCAGGGACCTTCTGACTTCTGATCAGCCCTATAACTACTGGCCAATGAAGACCCTATATGGCAGAGTTAATTAAATATTACATAGCATACAAATGGTAGTGGGTGGCTTTTCTATTCAAATGTCATCTCTCTACTGGTGTTGCCTTGCATTGCAACACATGTCACATTGCTGGTGCAAGAAATTCTGGCATACAAAGTCTGTCTGAACAGTAGTTGAATGACAGAATTATTTTGCTCTATAAGGCTCATCACTTCAAGCCCTAGCAACTTTCTCCATGGACTTAAAACACTGACCAACTTCGAGAAATTTAGAGACTTCCAGGTTGAATAGACTTATTAGAAAAAGTTTCTGTTGTCTCTGGGGTACATAATGCCTCCCAGCAACACATGAGATTATAATTTATACATTACTGTTTGTAGAAACACATGTTATTATGTACACAACCTGTATATGTTATTGTATGCAGAATACATGATGCTGCAATCTGTAAATGTTGCTGTTTATAGTGACCAATGGTATTAAAAGCTGTATACTTTGCTGTTTGTAGCAGAACACAGCATTACAATCTCTATAGTTACTGCTTTTAGCCTGTTTGTAACAAGACATAATACTAGAAGCTGTACACACTAATGTTTGTAGCAACACATGGCATTAAAAGCTGTATATGTTACTTGCTTGCTTTTTTATTTCAATCTTATTTATTGAACTGCAAGGTTACTGCTACACTTTAATATTTCATTCATTTTTTCTTGTTATCAATACATCAGTTTAGACTACAAATGGCCATATCCAGACATATTATGGTGTAAGTTGTTTCACTGCATATTCCTCTTACCACATGATGCACTAGCTGAAGTTGAAATTAAAACTAAAGAAGATAATAAACCATGTTTTCCTTCTGGAGGTTATGCAATCATTGTACAAAGTGGTGCACAATATGATCCAGTATTTGATTTAGTATTAATTATTCACCCAAGAATTGAACAATGTTTTGTAACATAGTAACACTTACAGCAGATCATGGAAATTAGTTTTTACTCTTCCTAAGTGAGCTAGTGTCATGCTGTTCCTGCTCATGATGGCTAACAAAGGATGATTGTCTGCAGAACACTGCATAAAAATAATGCTGTACTTTACTGAAGCTAGATGTGTTGTGCTCACATAGAGGCAGTTTCATATCCATTTTCAAATGTAATGGGCACCTTCATTCAGAAAATTCATAAACTTTATAACCAGTTTAATAATGATGGTTCAGTGTTGGAGAGGAAATGATGCCGGCGTTCATCTGTGTGTTCTCCGGAGAACATTGACGCTGTCAGAGTGGCGCTGCAAACAAGCCCCACTAAGTCAACAAGGAAGGCTGCAACACAACTAGGGACATCCAAATGATCAGTACAATGAATATTGAAGTGATCTGAATTTGCATTCATACAAAATGACAGTGGTGCCTAAACTTAACAGTTCAAAACGAACATCAAAGGATGGCATTTGCTGAATGGGCTCAGAATTATGAGGTTTCATTCAATAATTTGGCACACTTCCACATGGATGGTTTGGTTAATAAATAAAATTTGCGATTTTTGGCATCACAGAATCCATATGTGATTCATGAGAAGTTGCACGTGCACTAAGTATTACAGTGTGGATCACTTTCTTAAGTTATGGACCGCTAGGGTCAATTTTCTTTGAAGAGGCAGTGAACAGCGAGCGCTACTTAAGCATGCTGCACAACACTTCTGTGCCTCATCTTCTTGCTACAGGTTTGCCATTACAGGCTCAGTGGTTCGTGCAGAATGGAGCCAGGCTTCACACAGCAAATGTTCTCTTGGACTTTCTGCATGACACTTTCAACTTACATGACATCTCAAACCAATTTCCTAGCCGTTTTGCATGTGGACAGAAATGGCCACCCGAACAGTCCTGATTTAAACCCATGTGACTATTTCTTTGGGGTTTCCTTAAGGAAAAGATTTTTCTGAAAAAGCCACAAACAATAATAAATTGAGAGCACTAATCATTCAGGCCTGCAACGCGATAACTGAGGATATGTGCCATTGAGCAATCAACATCACAGTGTTGAAAAATTGCCAGAAGTAATGGTGGTCATACTGAGCACTTGATTCACAGAAGATAAATCTCCACGCAATGGTCTTTCTTTCTGTATGTCTGCTTCTAGTACTATGAGTGAAATACAGATATTATTAATAGATCAAATACTGGATCACTTCATGCGCCACCCTGTATTTAGGTATCAGGTGTAGTGAGCTGTGTCATTGTCTAGTTTTTTGTATGGGGTGTTTGTGATGGTGAATGAAAAGGGTCTTGTACAGGTTCAATGACTGGTGCAACTATTGTATATCAACTTCTCTTGCAGTTACTGGCCCTTGAATAATGGGTTTAAAAATATGTAGAACTTGTAATGCCATATATTGCTACAAACAGTAGCATGCACATAATATTATATTTCAGCACCTTGCTGATTATTTATGTAACTTTCATGAATGTTTAAATGACTACATGGTTACTGCCACATTGACAGATTTCATTCATTTGATTTTGTTATAAAGTCAACATAATTTGGCCACACATACAGCCATCTTCAGATATATTACATGTCATATGCTTTCTCACTGTACTATCTGTTTACCGAGTGAATCACCATTTACAATTAAAATTCAAAGAACTAAAATAATGTGGTATGTCTGCTGAAAGCCTGGATTTTGAAGTCAGCAGAGACAGCCATTGCTAAGGAATAGTTCTGCAAACATGCCCGTTCCTAGGCAATGGTTCGGTACAAGAGGCATGACAGCAGTCACACAACTGATGATCTGTTGGAAGCAGTGTTTTCTGTGTGGTCCACCCTGGGGAACAAGCACTCGAGATTCAGTTGTTATTGAGTCACTTGAGAGTTAAAGTTGTGAGAAGTGAGAAACTGGTAGCTGAGGCTCAGGACAGTTCAGGAACCCAGAGGAAGGCGAACGTTTACGCTTGCAGTTGAAGCCACTACCAAGCAACAGCTAGTGAAGACTGAGAATTTATGTATGCTGTAGTTACAGTAATCTTTGGAAAGTCTAACTCAGTGAGACTGTCACAGTTATTTGTAGTTACAATCTGCAACTGTTCAGTAAATCTGATTACCAATTCAAACCGTCTATAGTCATTCAATCATGTTATAATGTTGTGGCGTATGTACACCATGCAGGAATCGTTGAGCCACAGAAATCCATAAACACAGATATTATGCAAAAATACGGAAAGCAGTGTTTCTCCATAACGTGCCGTGCCGAGCCCAACGAAGCTGAGCCAAGCCCAGTTGCACTGCGCTGTTGCTATGCAGCGTTGCAGTAAACATCTCTTGACAGTGTTGCCTAGAAACGCCTCTGTAAACAAGGCGATTATGCAATAGGGAAGCATGGTGCGTTTTCTGCTAGTCTGATGGAGAGTTTATAGGAGAAATGGAATTCCAAAAGAGTAAAGGGCCTAGTGGAGGAAGCAAGTGAAGAGGAACCAGGAATACAGAAGAATACAGGAGGTCGGCCTGTGATGATGTCAAGTGTGATTTAGATGACTGTGTGTGTGCTGTGGTGCAGAGATATATGGAGTGATGTGAAGTGCTAGTTCCTGTATTTTAATTGCATTACCAGGAGAGGACTAGTGTGTGTGTGTGTGTGCATGTAACAGCGAGTGATGAAGTGTGTGTAAATCAGCCATATTATTCAGCCTCTGAGAAAAGCCTGGAAAAGCTTACATACTTCAGCTTTAATCATGTTTTTAACATTTGAATTTTTAACTTCCTACTTTCAAATGTAACATTAAATTTTAATTAGTGCTTCACTTAAGAAAAGGACAGACAACATAGTGAAACAACTTATGACATATAATATACGTGATGATGGCCATATATGGCCAAAATATGTTGTGATAGTACTGGGAACAAATGAATGAAACATGAAAGTCACATTACATCAGTCATATCACACAGCCATATGAACATGTCTGATATGTACATAAATAATACACAAGTAAGTAATCAATCAATGTAACAGGATGTTCAAACATACATGTTACTGTTTCTAACAACACAGAACACTAAAAGTTGTATATACTACTGTCTGGAGCAAGACATGGCACTGTAAGCCGTAGATGTTACTATCTGTAGCAACATATGACGTTATAAGTTACACTTCTTAGCGTTAGTAGCAATACATAACATTACGAAAAGTACATATTGTTGCCTGTAGCATGCAGAGCTAAGTAGCGACTGCAACACAAACGGGATCGAACAGTAACAAGTCCAAGCTCAACAATGAAGGAAATGTTGGAAACAGTGTTTTTTACGCAGTCCATACTAAGGGTTTATATAATGAGGACACCAACTGAGCAGTAGTCACTTGTCAGTCTGTGACGAGAAGACAAGGAGGTTGGTGTGAGATGGCCGCCAGCTGGGAGTTAGTTGAAGCAATGAGTTCAGCTGTGGGATATTTGCCAGACAGTAATGATGTGAGCACAGAACCTGAAGAATCACCATTCTTAAGATCTGTTACTGGGAATAAACTAGTGAAGGCAGTCTTTTTTTAACTTTTAGATAATTTTTCTGGATTTTTGGTCATTTTCTGGATTTTTTCAGTCATTTTTAAAATATTTTTAGGTCATCAAAATCTGGGCCCTGGTCATAATTCATTGTAGTTATGACTCGTAGTTACACAATAAATGCAATTACTAATCCAAACCCATCTCTCAATCACTGATACATGTGACGACTGGAATAAGAAATGGGATGGATTACACTGAAGTGATCGAGCATTGGAACAAAGATTTACTTTATAGTGCCATCCGACAAAAATGGAAAACATGGAATTCCTGAAAGCCATGCTAGTCGAAATGAACACCAAGATGGACGCCACCCAAGGAAAATGCAAGAAATGATGAAGAGGCAGATAGGTTCACTAGTCTCCATAATGGAGGCTGTCAGAGAAACCATGAGAAGAAATAAAACAAGAAATAAGAGGCAACCAAGAACACATTAAATAAACAATGGAAATACAGTTTCATTCTGTAGCTTCCAAACCGGATTGCTGGTGAAAACAGAAGCAGGCTGAACGAGGAGTGAGCGAAATGAAATCCTGAAGAAATGGAGTCTGAGGCTGAAACTGGGAGGTCCCTAAGGAATGTGCTGCAGTAAGCAGACAGGGGCCAGAAGCTAGCTGTAGGGCGACGCGGAGGGCCAAAGGAACTGAGCCGAGGAAATTGTGGATCCCAGAGGAAGTTGGCTGCCGCCTGCAGAAAGGAGTCCCATTGTGCAGCAGTAATATGGCGCATGACAAAATGGTGAGCTTCAGAAGGAACTGGCCAGACAGCAGGAGGACAACCCGTCATGCAAAAGTGGCATGGTGCAGGGGACACGATCACAAGAGATATGACCAGGACAATTGGGTGGAAGAAACCTGGAAAGGATGAATATTCGGGAAGAGATGCTGGAATGGACCAGAATGCAACAATGGCATAAGGAAGAGAGGCTTTAAGACAGCAGCTACGAGGCAACAAGTGAATAAAGAACCCAGGCAATAGACAGCAGCTGCGTTTCAAGATCAAGAGGACATAAGAGGAGTTCGACAGCAAGGGTTTCGGACTCGAGTTCATGAATCGAGTAACCATGATGTCCAGCGGGTTATGAAGAATGATGGACTGGACATTATGGATGGGTTGGCTCCCTCTAAAGCAGAAAAGAGGCTGCACATGGAATACCAGCTGCAGAGGTGAGGGCACCGAATACTCAGGATACCTTTTCCCCACCGTTGGAAAAAGAAGAGAAAAACAAGGAAAATCTTTGAATGAAGGTGAGAACTGCACTAACTGGAACCTTATACAGAAACTGCCTGGGACGAGCTGGCCTTAAGGATGGAGCAGTGGTAGCAGTTGCAGAATGAACACCACAGAAAAAAAAGAAAAGAGCAATGCAAAGGAAAGCGAGATGTCACAAGCAGAAACCTCAGAATGAAGGAACAGTGATACACTGTTAGGCTACTCAGGTTGAGCAGCCTTGAGGAGGAAACAAAGAAACAGGTGTGATAACACTGCCAGTCAACAGCTCTGTAAACATGGTCCAACATGCAACAATAGAGGAAGCTGTGTTTTCCGTGTCCACAATTATGTCACACAACACTGGGTAGAGACCACATGACATGTTTGCTGTAGATCTGACCAACATGCCAAGAGACTGGCTGGATAGTGATCACATGATACGCATTTACTGTAGGTCCATGTCCACTCCGTGGCAATACATGTGACATAATTCGTTCATGGGAGTTACGAGTTATAACTGAGTAGTAGTGGCAGAAGCACGAAAACAAGATAACAATAAGCTTGAGTACAGCAGTTATGAGTAAGTTGTAAGCTGGAGGAGTGAGTCCAGAAGGATTTTTAGTTTAGAAGTTCCAGAGAGATTAAAGACAAGAGCAAGAAGACTTCATAGAGATCTGAAGCGTTAATTTCTGTGTTGAGATCCGTTGCTAGAGACGACTAGTGGAAACTGAGAATCCTCGTGCATGTGCAACGGTGAACTGTAAAGTGTGTTAAATCAGTGACAGCGCTGTATTAATTGTAATTAAGACAGACAATGTAACCAAAGTGCTAATAAATCCAATCATCCGAACTAGAACCCATTATTTTCATCATGCATAACTCCCTACATGTCACAATATGTACATGTTAATGTTTGTAGCAACACACAAAATGTTGATTCATGCAAATTCTGAAGCTCACCATTACTTGCTCTACATCATCTTTAGGACCAGGGTTTGCAATCTTCTCTTTGTTCCTTTCTAGTTCCAGAACAGATGCTGCTAAAACATCCTCAACTTGAGAAAATGTTAAATCTACCCCAACATGGATCATCTGAGAGAATACCTGAAACAAATACTGAGAATTAAGTGATTTGGCCACTGTTCCAACAGCAGAGATTATACAGCTTGAACTGAGGAAGATATGCATGAATGCTGAGTTGGTAAGAATGTGAAAGGATGCAGTCACAGTCTTGTCTATGTGAAGGTACTATCTCAGCCAATTCATAAACAGACCGAAGAACATAATCTTTCAGAATAATCAGTATCCCAGTCTAGATTCATACTGTGTACATCCCATATACGATTCTAGCATGTTACTTCAAATGACTTCAAATATAAATGTCAGTAAGCCATTAAAACTTCATGCTTGAAGTCCTGGGCAGCTGCTGAAGAACTGCCAAGCACCAATGTTCCCTGCACACACCTAACCACATGTGCACTGTCTCTCTTAGTAATACTGACCTGGCCTCTTCATTCCACACAACTTACTCCACAGCATTTCTGCATATTAACTTTCAAAATATTTTCTCAGTTCTGGGAGCCAATATACATACTGCATTGCACTGCACTGCACTGCTTACCACAGTTCTTTCTCTGCTGCAACAAGTACGCACTTTGTATTTTGAATCTGAGGCTTGTTTCTCTTACTGTATACCTTGAACTAGAGATTCCTTCTTTCACACAAATAACACTTGAGTTCTAGGGAATGTTTTATTCTTTAGTCTTTAGTAAGTGATGTTTTGTGTTCAGTACAGCAGCTCATATATTTTACACATAACTGACTAGAATCAAACACTGTTATACCAAATATTGACAGTCGATTCTTATGATTTGGCTCAATGCAGAAAATGACCTCCGCCTCTTGCCTCAAATAGGTGAAGAATTAAAGACTAAGTATCTAGCTTGTCTGTGCAAAGTATGATGTTTCAGTCCTTGGTCATCCATATTTAAAAGGAGAGTAAAATGTCAGTAAATTAAATAACCATCTGAAACATTTCATTTACACGAAAAAAAAAAGAATCATTTTAAGTTACAAAACCACTGAAAAGGCAGATGATATGAATGACTAAAACTGACTGGTTTACCTCTCACCATACAGCAATCTATGATACTTGATATTTGATATTACACAAATGGCAGCCAGTCTGAATCCTGGAATGCTTGTGGTCTCTAATCATTAAGTGTAAAGGATCCTTCTTGTAATATACTGTCATGCGACTGTGAATATACACAGGATTTGGATTAGTAACTGGACACTGAATCATCTTATTTATAAATAATTACACACATTAAACATCTGTTACCATTTCACAATCTGTTATATCACCCTTGCTTGGTTACAATAATGGGGACTCCTCAGTGTGTTCTAACATTGTCAGCTCACCATTGCTGGCTCTGGCATGCTGCTTTACATTGGCCTGCTGCAGAAACATGCTTCAACAAGCTGTTGCATAGCAATGGATGCCTCTGTGACACTTCCAAGATTCTGTTTTTTCAGTATCATGTCACAATATCAACCAAAGTGCACCAATGCACAGAATATAGTGCCTCTGTTTTAAACCTCTACCTATAATTCAAACTGATTAATACAATGGTACGCTCTTAACTTTCCTGTCATCATGTTCATAGCATGTTAAGAATTCTTTAGCAATCAAGAATTATGATCTAATATACATCATATTTCTTTAACAGTTACCTGTGCAAATCGAAGGAGATCCTTGACAACTGATACTTTGTTGAGTTGTCGAAGATGTAAAGCATGCAGCCACAATTCAATACAACGATCAAACCGTGCATTGTCAGCAAATACAGCACCTCGGAAAATAACTGGATGGGGCACCTCTGGATTATGAGTGCCCAAGATCCGCTCACGGATTGACAATGATTCCATGTGCAGAGCATTCTGATTGAGTTGAATGGCTTCTAGCTCTTCAACTGTTTGACATTCAACCCAATTTTCATATGCTGGAACTGGTTTTACTAATGTCTTCAATATGATATTATGTGGGTCACTATACCTTAAATTCAGAAACACAAATACCATATTAACCTAAATAAAAACAAAATATCAGAATGATCAATATTTCAAATTATCCAGAATGCAAACAGAAAAATATGGTATCATAAACCAGATTTTCCACATATTATTAGTCTCAAGATATACACGAATTAAAGCACTTGCTTCACACTGATATCATGTGGATCATAAATACAAAAGATTAAACCCATTAAGTCAGCATTTAAACCCTTACTATAGCTGTACCCTTCAGCTGTAGTTAAATTATCTTGTTGCAAGACATTTCTCTATATTTTGTACTGTAGAAATTAAAAACATTATTTTATGAACTTTTCTAGAATGTTATAAAAGGTCTAAAGTTTCATGCTGCATAATTATTTTTAAATATTAAAAAACAGCTCTGTAGTCATCAATCTTAAAACAGTCCTCAAAGTACAAACCTATTCCACATTCCATACATCAAAAGGAAGTTCTTTTCTTCTTCCACTTGTCTTGAAGTAAACTGCACACCATTTCATCAGCTTTGCTGCCTATTCAGATGGAGACATCCTCTGTGTAAAATGTCTTGCTATCATTCTATCAAGTGCTGGTGCTTTCAACAGTCTTCTAGGAAAAGGAGGTTATAAAAATTCCATATGTGCTTCAAATACATCTTTTATTAGCTGAAGTCTACAAGCAAGATTGTCCAAATTTTTTGTTTTGGTTTTCTCTGTATAGCACACATGTATTATATATCAAAATATTTAGCAGCCTTTTGATAGCTTTATGTGCTATTTTGTGCATCTCTTTCTCCCAATTCCATATGGCTGCAGTTTTTGAGCTTCTGAATCAAGCACTCCAATGCTGAAAATTGTATTCCTGTATGTCTCTGGATTTATTTACTTATCTTCCTCTGCTGGACACTGCAATCATGGCTTCACTGTGAAATGTATAAATTAATGACTAGGGCCCAGATTTTTTGAAAATGCATATGCACATATGCAAATGCTTATTTTGAGGGGTTTTGGTCGTTATTGCATATTCTAAACACAAGAGCATATTTCTGCATATATGTTTAGAATTAAGGATAATTTCAATATTCTCTAACAAAATCGGTTTTGCGTGTGTTTTGGACATGCTTTGCCAATTGCTATTCTCAACTCTCTGAGTAACGGCACTTTTACCACTTACAATACAAGCAGGTAGCTTGGCTATTTCGAAAGGGATTTGTGATTTTCCTGCATTCCATTGACCATCACAGCAGACAGTAGCATGAGAGGGTTGGTCTTGAGAGAAGTCTCTTCAGTTAATGTGTTACTCTTTACTTTAATAGTCTGCATCAAAAAAGTGTTCGTTCAGTCATTCATTCATTCATTTCCTTTATTTTCCACATATCAATACAGGCAAAAATCCTAGGATGTGGAAATAGTCCATTTGATTATAGATTATTTTGATTATTTTCGTGTACTGATAATGCCTAAAGAAAAGTGCAGCAGTAGATATTTAAAAATTCGGTGGGTGTCGGGTAATAGTGACTATTCAACAGATGGTGTCATGATGTACTGCCAGGTGTGCGCAAAGGAAGTAAAATGTGAAAAGAAATTTCAACTTGAACAGCACTCAAGAATTACTGCACATATTGCGGCAAAGAAGGGGAAGAAGAACAGCACACCACAACAACTACTTCTTACACAGGTCAAAGCCAAATCCTCCGTTAATACATTTTCAGCCCATCTTCGTAAGGCTTTAGTATGCAGCAACATTCCATGGAATAAATTAAGCAATCCAGTTCTTCGATCATTTCTGGAGAAATATTGTGTACTTCAAAAAATCCCAGATGAATCAACTCTTAGAAAAAATTATCTACCTTTGTTGTATGAATCTACTCTGTAGTCAATCCGTTCTGACATCGAAGGGAACTGTGTCTGATATCGGTGGATGAGACAACTGATTTATGTGGCCGATACATAGCAAATTTCGTAGTTGGTACGCTACATCCAGATAAACCTGGCAAACCTCATCTTCTTGATTGCAAAGTACTAGAGAAAACCAACCATAGCAAAATAGCAAGATTTGTGAATGATTCTCTGCGACTACTATGGCCATCTGAAACTGAGAATAATTGTTATAAGGTGCTTGTTTTACTCACAGATGCAGCTTCCTATAGGTTGAAAGTAGCAAAGCAGCAAGTATTTTATCCAAATCTTATACATGTAACATGTTTAGCGCATGGATTACACCATATTGCAGAAAAAATATGAGCACAGATTCCAGCTGTTAACGATTTAATTGCAAGCGGGAAAAAGCTGTTTCTGAAAGCACCAGCTTGTGTCCTTTTGCCACTTGAACCAGTCCTAACTAGGTGGGGGACATGGTTATCCGCAGTTTCATTTTATCAGAAGAATTTCAATCAAGTAAAAGAAGTAGTTACAAAACTTGAAGATGAGTATGCATGTGTCCGTGAAGCAAAAGTGGCGTTTGGAAGTGATACTGTTTATCAAGATGTGAATTTTATCCATGCACATTTTTCTATAGCGTCAAAAGCCACTGAGGGCTTAGAATCTTGCGGTGCACTCCTTCACGACTCACTTGAACTCATTCCAACTTGTTCACTGAATTCCACTCCGGGCGAAATTGGAGAGAAGATTAAATGCATGTTAGAAAAGGTGTTGAAATTGAACCCAGGACTAAAAAAGATTCAGTCGATTAGTCAGTACTTGAGTGGAATTAGGGTATCTTTGCCAGATGAATGTTCCGAACCTTCGGCGCCAGTGTATAAATACTGTCCAATCACATCAGTTGATGTAGAAAAATCATTCTCAGCCTATAAACTCATTTTGATGGACAATAGACATAGTCTGTCTCCAGAAAACATTGAAAGACTTCTAGTTGCCTATTGTGATGCTACTTTCTGCAGTGAATGATACATGTAAATAGGTGAGTCGGAATAAAGTGTCCTGTTTCTTAAGTGCATATTGTTTTATTTTTGGTGCATATTTTCCCGCTTTTTAGCGTATATTTTAAGTGTTTTAGTGCATAAAGATCCAGGCCCTATTAATGGCACAGACTTCTTGTCCATGCAGGTCATCACCATTGCTTCTCGACTCCCTACACAGCAACACAGTTGTCTTGTTTCACAACCCAAGGAAGTTTGTTCATGTCCAGTGACATTGTCCCATCTACATAAATTTTCTTTCTATGGAGACAGATCTGTCAGAGTGTAGAAACTGTTCATTTATAATGCATGCCCTCAGATGGAACTGACTCCACCAACTTTACAACAGTCTTCATTCATTTGTAGATTATTAACTAGGAAGACACTGCTTGTTACACCTGTTGTCATTCCACGCCATATAATAAATTTCCACAGGTATCCAGAACATGAACCATAAAATTTAAAGACTTTTTACTTCAAACTAGCAGCCTTCAAAGGAACGTATTACTTGAATCCCAGTCCACCCTCCCAGAGAGTCAAAGATTTGTCAAGGGACATACTTTCCTGTTGTCTCCAGAGGTTGCTAAATTTGCTGTTCATGTATTTCAGAATTGGACCAATTTTGAATACTTTATTTTCTTCAACATTTTTTATTTCATCATTGCTCACAAAATGTAGAAGATGGGAAAGCAAGTACTTCCTGCCCTGTGACGTACATTTATACGAAACCAGTGTGCTGAATGAAAATTTTCTACTAAAATTTGGTTTAACTACTGCATTTGGTGCATTTTCATATTACAGTAGCAAAGCACATAAAGTTATCACCATTCTCTTTAAAGCTGAGAAGAACAAAAATTGCAGTCTTAGCTCATCCTTGTGTGATTTATGAATTTCACTGTATACTGGATTCCTTCAGTAACTAAAATATCCATAATTGAATCATCAAAATATAGCTTGAAAGCCTCCAATACACATCTGACAGACTTTAGAGGACCACTGTTTTGAGAAAACTGCATCTTATTAGGACAGTATCAACCATCAGCATCTTCAACTACCAATCACTATGATGTTCCACTCTAGGCATCTTTGTCCCTGGATGACATTTTCTTCAGTTTCCTTGTCTTCTGAGTTTAACAAAGAAGTTTCCTTGTCTTCTGAGTTTAACAAAGAAGAAACACTGTCACCAGATTCAGGAACACCTGTTTCATTTCCACTCGCATAATCATTCACTTCTTCAGCACAAGACTATTTGTAAGCATCCAATACACTGTTTGTTTCTAGGCCACATAATGCGCTAGGCAGCACCATTTTGAAACCTCCAAACAGATGGTTTGAAGACTGCATAACATACAACATAGCTGCTGCGCAATCTTTTATATCGCCACATTTGAGTGACTAGACATTGGGGTCTGACTGATAACTGGATTTACTGAATGCCTGTAACTCCAAAATACAGACAACTATAACAGTCCCATTAAACTATCCATTAAACTATAACCACTATTAATCACTGCTGCAAACACTAAGACTTCTATGTCTTCACTAGCTGTTGCTTGGTAATGTCTGCCAGGAATGGACACTGCTTTGTTTCTGTGATCACATCTTTACTGGCCTGTGACTTTCTCACAACAGACTCTCAATTTTCAACTACCTCCCATTAGCCCTTGTTATATAACCTCAGAACAGACTACACAGAAGTTTCTGCTTCCAAGAATTCCTCCACTGTTGCATTATGTGATAAGCAGCTGTTGTCTAGCAATGGCACCGCTATTAATGATGTAGGATGGTGTTTAATGGCTTCCGAGGAAACGTGTTTACTGGCTGTTGTCTAGTAATTAATGTCTTTTCTGTGTCCACTTATTAGGCTTTCAGCTGTCATGTCATAACATGAAAGAACCAACCTGAACATTGATAACTATACTCTCTAGAGGTCTAATCCTTTGGCTAGTTTGATCCTTCTCTAAGAGATGACAGAACAATGACAATTTTTCTGCAAGTCTGCAGTTGGTGAGTGCATATTCAGGCTATTGCCAGTACCACAGTTCAAAGGCTGACAAGTACAAAATCAGGTTATGGGATTCAGGAGTTAATATCAGCTGAAATAAGCTTTATGAAATGGGCAGTAGGTTACATCTATTTCTGCTATAGGAGAAATGATAACAAAATTGAATAACACATTTCATAAAGATTACAGAAGAAATTCGAAAGAACATGTTGAAAGAATGGGCTCCAATAAGATCCCACAACATGAAACCATACGATGTGCTCAGAATGCAACAATATACAGCATGAACACAAATTACCTCATTTCCATTGTCCGATGTAAATATTGATATGCTAACTCGAGACAATAATTGTCTTTATCATTTGCATAAGAAGCCCCAAGCAATTCTAGGGCCTCTATTCGTTCCATATTTGAGACCTCTGACCGTGTTACCAAGTATTCTACTACTTCAGCTCTAGTCCGCTCAGCTGCTGCTATCAGAGGACTCATGCCTATAACAGAGATTTCAGAGACATCAAAATAATGACAAAAGCTTCCCTTGAAAGACCATATGGTTAGTTTATTGCCAGAACATTAGTGGAAGGCTATACTCATATCTATGTAATAAATTCTACAAAAAAAATGTGGTAAGAAACAGTATTGGAAGTATGGTTCTTCAGGTTTACAATAAACTACCAAGAGATATTTATAGGAGAATAAAATTAACAATGTTGGGACATTCATCTAAGTGAATATGCAAACTTCAAAGGAAAGAACTGTCACAAACAACATGTATGTGTTGTTATGTTTAATAAATAAAAATAAGATACTTTCTCTTCACCTCTTTTGTCAAGATATAAATCTCCTGCTACTACCATGCTGGTGGTTGGATTTAAACTTCCCAGCGATGGGATTTATACTGTAATCCATGTAAATGCTAGGCAAGGTGACCAACTGTCCCAGAAAACAAATCCTTATTGCACATCCTGGGAAGCACCCTGAATGTCCCAAAAATAGCACATTTTTTCTGAAATACTTATTTTTTTTAAATTTGCTCAACTGTTTCTAAAGTCGAACATAAGTATCCTACACATATACATTATTGTACTTACAACATGAAATCAATTTGAAGAGTTTTATGTTCTGGAATATAATGTCATGTAGTCTGTTGAGGGTCAACTAACATTTTGGATGAACACGTCACCTCTGTCTTCAGAGCTCTGCTTGCTATGTGCTTCATGCTGTTTTCTTGCCTGGCTTATTCTTTCACCCTCCATCTTCAGAGCTCTGCTTGATATGTGCTTCATGCCAGTTTCTTGCTTGGCTTTCTTTTTTGTTTACTCTGAAGCTGGAGGGGTCATGCTCCTCTGAAATAGTTGACTTTCAATGGACTACACAGCATTGCATTCCGGCAGACACAACTTTTCATAACCACCGCTGTGAGAACCTCAAATCAAATTTCACATGTCAGCCACTCTTAGAACAATGTACTATTGCTTCTTGCCTACTGAACATGAAATTATCAATAACAATGAGAGAGGGTATGTTTTCTCAGGAAGTAGATTAATTACTTCTAAGGCATGCCATACCACTTGGATATCAACAACTGGTGATAACTTACTGCAGGGAGTGCAGACACAAAAGCCTCAATTCTTTAATTCTTAGACACAGACAACTAACATGGCTTATTGCTGAATGTTAGTTGAGTTTCAAAGTATTTGAGAGTCAAAGTGAATAAAAGTCTTGTGCTTTGTGACAGCAATATTAATTTTCGGTTTTGGGGGTCTCATATTCTGCAGGTCTTGGAATTAATGTGGAAAGAATTGGTTGGCATTATCAACAATTTTAGACCAACCTACATGTAAGAAGAGGGCATATATCATAAAAAAAGGCTGGCCATAGAAACATCATTTTATAGAATTGTTGGTCGATGATGTCTCAGATGCACTGTAAGATTCATGATGAGAACTTGTCAATTTCCCATGAAGAAAAGAACAAAATCCATATCCATGCAGATGATCCCATTTATAGAATGAAAGTCATACAGAGAAATACCAACAAACTGATGACAGATTTTGTATTCACTTAAAATGCAGACAAAGCAACTGCAGCAGAATGTACTGAAGTATACCACACAATTTATCATGAGCATTCAAATTACTCAGCTGTGATATGACATTGTATCTGATGGTGTTTCCTGAGTCAGGCACAGTGAATAAACTGTCTTGCACTAAAGGTGGGAGAGTTTGGACAGTATCATGACAGGCTATGAGCTGGTCGGCCATGGTTCAATTCCCAGCAGGGGCACGCTTTTTCCCTTCTCCACAGTGTTCAGACTGGTTCAGGGGCCCACCCAACCTCCTATCCAATGGATTCTGGCATCTCTTCCCCCAGGGGTAAAGAAGCAGCTGTGTGAGACTGACAACTCACCTCCACCTAGTGCCAAGGTCAAGAACACTGGAACTATAACTCCACTCCCTGATACATCTTCAAGTTGTGGTGTTTAATTAATTAAGCACAGGGACAACTTTACCTTTACTGTCCTGTATTAGGACCAAAGTCAATGCCACTGTAACAGGAGTTTTCATTCAAGCCTCTGTTTATAACTCTAGACTTTCTACACAGAATCATTATATACACAGAGGAGGCAGACCAGACAACATCCTACTTTTGACAGCAAATGACACATCCACTCAAGAGAGTTTGAAGATGTTTCCAGTGCCAATAAAACTCTGGACACAACAAGACAGCATGCAGAAGCAAGTGTTTGATTTTATCCTGCCTGTGAAGACTACGCTGGGACCACTGCAAATAAAAACAGGTTAGAAAAAAAAATGGATTTTTCATTTCAAAAGGCGTCAGCATTCTCTGTGGACAATTATTTCTCACTTTTCTTCAACGCACTGCAGTCCCTAAGTTCTAGAAGAAAACATGGCTATAGCAACCCAAATATTTTACACAATAAGTACACTCACAATTTGAACATACTCATGGGTAAACAGGAGCAGAAGAAGGACAAACACACTGGCTACACAACAGTTGCATATCTTATGAAACTGAAGGCCTGTATAGGTGAGAAAGAACCACTGTCTTTTCACACTAATGCTACTGCATATCTAATGAAGTGGTTCAACTTTAGTGATGAAAACTACTTTACACAGAATGAACATCTCAGTCTTGCATGTGAAATGCAATATGAGGAGCTGTGAAAGGCTGTGGCAGTGCTGAGATTTCAACCCATAGTCATCATGAATAAGATGCATGAAGAGTTCACAACAGTTCAATCTTACATTGCTAATCTGATTCAAATGTTAAGTTTTAAGGATATGGGTGTCGGGGAGAAGTGGATGAACATGTACTATCACTAGAAATGTCACTGCACAATTTATAAAAACGTATCATTCATGAAGTAATTTCTTGTAAGTAATGTAAATGAGGAGAGACTCTTTTCCATCATGCCAAGTGATTGGCATACAGAGTGAAACCAAAGAAATAAACACCTAGTCAACACAGAAATTTATGTCAAAATGAACTATGGATTTTCATGCAAAGGCTTCTACTGATACATTCTTGGGAACAAAGAGATTCTAAGGGCAATGTGGTCATCTGCAAAATGCTCCTTCAAAAACAGCACCAACAAGCTGTAAGGAGAGAAGGGAAGGGTAGAATAATGATGATTTTCCATACTACATAATGTAATTATATATTCTTTTGTACCTGAATTCATGTTGTGACCCACACTTTCACTTGGCCGTTCAGGATCATATACTTACATCTGTGACTTCAAATCACTTATTACAATAATATAACTTTTTCACATGAGTTTGGAGTTTCTTAAAGACAGTGCTTCCATGCAAAAATATGCATTATTTTTCCCATTATAACAAATAACATCTGGTGCCACCGCCCCCACCACCACTACCTTTTGCACTAACTTGTCACTTGTACACAAAAATGTGGGTCGTGACATAGCTCAGGTGGTTAGCCACTGGCTTCCCATCGTGGCAGCCCAGGTTCGATCCCAGGTCAAGTCATGTGGGATCTGTGGTGGACAAAGTGGTACTAGGACAGGTTTTTTCCCAGAGTACTCTGGTTCCTGCTGCCAGTTCTCACTCTACCGACTGCTCCACATTCATCATCTATCATCTGGGGCTGATACAATAGGCCAGCTAGTGGCCGATGTACCGAGTGGACTCAGTCTCACCCAACCTCAAGAAACTAAGAAACTATATACACATAGTTTCATCTCATATGCAAAGAGGAGTAAATGAAAAATAAAGCTGCATTCGAGACAAAAGTGTATGTGTTTATCAGCGATAAGAAAAACATACTTCAGCAATTTCTATATTCTCCGCCAGACATGAAAAAGTTAAAAACATGTAAATGTGAGAAGATGGAATTTGTGCTCCTAAATGCTTCATGCAGAAATGGGCAGCAAAGTAAGCGTCTGTAGTGTGCACATGGCCAGATTTAAATGACTGATGCTGTAAAAAAGTAAGTAAAGCTATCCCTGTACCATGCCGGGAAGGCCCATAGGGTTGAGACGTTGAGGGTCCCACACTATCTAGACAATCGGCTCAAAGAGGTTGGTAAGGTTGTCAGCCTTATGCGCCGGCCACGCTTTACTCCCCAGGAAAATTATTTAATTAATTCCTGGCACTCATTTCTGTTAGAGGTTGAGTAAACCCCAGGGCCTAGAGTGGCTGGAAGGATTAGGTAAACTGAAAAAAAAACCAATGACCTCATCGGGACTTGAACCTGCGACCTTCCAGAGATGCTGTAGGGAATTTAAACATTTTCTAGTGTGCTATTAAAAATACTGTTAACTAATATAACTTCCAGAGATGCTGTAGGGAATTTAAACATTTTCTAGTGTGCTATTAAAAATACTGTTAACTAATATAACTTTATTTGAACGAATGAAATTAACGTTGTTTTTATAAGCAAAGAACATAGTGTCACATAGTATGTCAGATTTGAAAATGACCAGACAAGAATATTATACTCCATTTTTTAATTTGTTGATATTTACTGTAAAAATCAGAGGCCCAACTTATTCATAGTAGTTCTGCATTATAAAATTATTCCTGCATGAATGCACGATTCAGAGATCTGCCACTCTGGTGTCATAAACATCTGTTCCACTTATTCATAGTGGTTCTGCATTATAAAATTATTCATGCTTGAATGCACAATTCAGAGATCTGCCACTCTGGTGTCATAAACATCTGTTCCTGTGTCCACATACCAAATAAGNCCGAACATCATCCATCCTATTTACTACAGAGATTTGTGTCCTCTTCTGGGAAGACTGTGAAATACATATCAGAAAGATGTACAAATATTTTGTTTCTGGATATTATCCATCATCCTGTTTTTTTTATCTAAAAACACCATCCTGGTTATATTTCACAACATAATATTTAGGAGTGTAGCCGCCCGCCGATGTACATCTGCCACGATTGACGCTCGAGCTTGAGTTCTTTATCTCAGGGATACAGGTGCTTCAGATATGGGAGTGGAACACACTAGAGGGTTCATGAATTATGGGGTCTCCAGAACACACCATGTATTGCAGTCTTAATTTAAAATTTTGTACAGTGATCAATCTTTACATTAGTCCTTCCAGCTAACTGCTCCATCCATCCTATTCGCTACCCCTACTGTAAAACACTTCTCTGTTCTCTGCCTACATTTCAACAACCGTCCCCCTCCACTCCCTATAACTGACTGCCTTCTCTTTACAAGTCCCTCAGTGGGCATAAAACAAAACAAGAAAAATAACACGAGAAAGCCAGGGGTCGAGCCCGGCATCTGTCCTACGTTCGTATTTTTCGAGATGCCCATCATAAACCTTTTTAAGTCTTCAAGGCACACAAGCAGGGACCCCAAAGCCTCTCCTGGCCCATCTTGCACAATGTCAGCCCATGAGTTCATGACAATAGGAGCAAACTGGCAATGTTAGGGACAATAGTGACACCCTAAGCCTAAGGAAGACAATAGATGAATTACAACTAGACAGTCCCGGGATGCTATCTTGCCAGAGGAGTGTCTCTCATGGTGTGAAACAATGCATAAATTGGTCACGCCCTTAATTAAATAATTTCAGCAAGGGACGTACGGTTATAATTATAACCGTCTATGAAAAATTTGGACTATTTTTGACACTCTCAATGAAGCATACAAAAACATCATAATCCTTCAAAGTATTTAGTCACTGTAAAACCCCTGCAATCATTCCATACATTTATTTATTCGAGACACAATTTTGATACAACTTCTTGGACAATACATACAAGATACAGGCTAAGATTAATTTTGTGCTTGATAAAGCATGTTTCAAGAAGGCTCTGCCACTTGTTTCTAGCTTCCTATGCAGTCANTCTGCAAAAGCATCGTGTGCACTGGCCATGAACTGTACATGGATAATTTATTTTTGTCCCCAGACTTATCTGATGACTTAAGAACAAAGAAAATAAGTAGCTGTGGGACAGTTGGGCCAAATCACAGATCTAGCCACGAGACCTAGCAACATGAGACTTGGACTAGAAAAGGGTGACATGTGGGTTTGGGTGAGAGATTTTTTTTTTATTGCCAGTGGGGTGGGACTAAGTCCCTTGTACTGTGGCCACTTCTGGCCCCAGATGACAGGTGAGGGTGATTGTGGAGCAATTGGTGGAATGAAGATTGGCTGGGGAAACCGAAGTACTCAGAGAAAACCTATCCCAGTGCCACTTTGTCCACCACAAATCCCACTTTACCAGACCTGGGATCGAACCCGGGCCACCACGGTGGGAAGCCAGTGAGTAACCGCTTGAGCTATGGTGCGGCCTTTGGATGAGAGATGACAGCATAAGTTTGGAAAGACAAACAATACATAAAAATGCTGACGAACATGTACAATCCTCAAGAAGATGGATTTTTTTGATATGCAGGGAAATGCCATAAAACCACGAACACAGGAGGGCTACTGCAAACATTTGGGCCATTTGGAGAAACTGGACATGAAAATATCAAATATCATGTGCACTTGAACAAACATATCATGAACTCAGATGAAGGGCAATGCTTTTCTGAATGTGTAGGAGCAACCCGACATTTCTAGCCCAAGCGATTAAAATTTCTGGGCTTTTAAAATTTTTCCTGCAATCATGCCATACATTTATTTATTTATTCGAGACACAATTTTGATACAACTTCTTGAACAATACATACAAGATACAGGCTAAGATGAATTTTGTGCTTGATAAAGCATGTTTCAAGAAGGCTCTGCCACTTGTTTCTAGCTTCCTATGCAGTCATCTTAAAACATTCCAACACTATATCTTACATAATGCAGGTAATGCCACTTTCTTTCTTTCTGTCATTTACCGCATTCAGACTTCGTGGCACTGAATTATTTCTCATCACACCAACTGGCTATCTTGGTATTGATAATATAAACAAGGAGCCCAAGACCTGGAATGGACATAACTTAGTTTGTCTTCCCCCGCCCTCCCATGATACAAGTGGAATGTTCAAGCTCTGACATTTATTTTGAGCTAGGGTCATTCATTCTCAAGTGAAGTATTGTATTGTATTGTATTGTATTGGAGAGGGTGGGTTTCCCCATGCACTTAGACCAACTGTTGGTCCATTGTGCATCTCCCTACGATATTCTACCAGTCTCTATTCCCTACCGGTACTGGTGCGTGCCATCAGTCCCGACTCAGCCAGGGAGTTTGGCCTCTACTGGCTCAGCGGTATCTCGATGCTTCCCCCATCTACCAGAGGCGTTAGACACTACTGTTCGGTGGGAAATGTCCTGAATTTGGCTCAGTGGTCCCCTTGGGACATGAGGTTCTTTTACGTGCCGTAAAGCTACGACATGGGACCCACAGCTTAAGTCCCTCCCAGAGGACTTGTTCCCTGAATTTTTCTGCCCTTAAAAATTCCACGACCTCCGCCGGGTTTGAACCTGCGTACCTTGAGTCATGAGGTGGGAACATTACCCCTAGACTACGGAGGCCGCTTCTCAAGTGCAGTAACAGATCACTTTAAGCAATGAGCTATAAACAAATTTTACTGGTGCCCCAGAGGACTGGCAGAAGATATGCTGCGGATGCTTCCAAAGTCTATGGAGAACAAACAATGTCCTTGTTCTAAGTTCTGGCTAGCATCACTAGTTCAAGGATGTTCATGAATTGTTGAAAGATGACCTGTGTGGTGAACAGCCCGCAACACTGCACAATGAGGACAATGTGAGACAGTGCAGAAAACTGTATTATAATCATCAACTAGTGAAAGCTGAATACAGAGAATGCTTTTCAGTTGGTGGCTGTTGTACCGTCCTTAGTAAGGGTCTGAATAGTATTACATCTGCCAACATACTGCACAAAGAATGCTGATGCAGGATCAATGTAATGGCCTCAGTGATCTCAGCAACAGCAGATGACAATCCAGACTTTCCCTGAAAGATTATCAGAGGTGGTGAAGCAAATCACCTTAAATGTCCTAAACTGTGGGCCAAAGTCTGTGCACACTTGCATCGCAATTCCCTGGTATATAACTTGCTGCTTGTGCAACAGCAACTTGCTACACATGTTACTGTGATACCCAGACTAATTCTCCTGATTCACACTGTGTCATTTCTGTCTTTTCTTAGATGAAGGACCAGCCAAATGGTTCATGGATGCAAAACAGGTTCCAGAGGCTTCAAAGAAAGCAACACTGCAAGTCACATGTTGTGGCCACCACAAATATTTTGAACAAATGTACAAATAGTAGGTCTTCCATGTTGTAACAAGGTGCAGATGAGAGAGAACCTTTCTGCTTCCTTGGAAATACCAGGCTCTCTCCAAACTACATGGCATTACAACCCAAAAGACTGTATTCTTCATAATCACTGACGTGAGAACCTCACATCCAACAAATATATGAAGGCTGGCAGTGTAGATGCTGAATAGCAGTGTTCTGAAGGCAAATAAATTGCAGGGCTTCTTGGTGTTGCTGGGTTTGACAGAAACTTCCGATCCTGGAAATTTCTGAAGTTACAAGTAATTAGCATTGGTTGGATAAGGGTGAGCTAGACGCATTATCCCCAATCAGTGGCCATGCAGTCTAAGGCATGAAGTGTCTCTGACCGCTCAAACGCTGAGATTGTGGGCTCGAATCCAACTCAAGGCATGGATGTTTATCCGTGTTTCTGTAGGTAGCGGGTTTGTGACAGGCCGATCCCCCATCCAAGGGGTCCTGCCGACTCTCTTAGGATTAATAAAATTGAAGTGAAACAAAGCAATTCACAGATGTCCTATGCTTCAAAGTGGGAGCAACAGGAGAGGAGGGGGCAGTATGAAACCAAATCTCATACCTCACTCTACTGTTATAACAGAACACATAAGTTAGGAATGTTCTCAATCTTGAACAAACACAAGAAATTGAGTAGTGCTGTTGCAATGTACAACGGATTACAGATGATTATAGTGCAAGGGCCATTATTCTCTCTTTCATCAAACACTGTTGTATAGTTCTACAATTACTCTTGGATTCATTCATCAATACATACCATTTTCATTCTTGGTTATATGTGCCCCATACTTCAACAGCTCCTTAACAATTGCCACATGACCACACTCTGCTGCAAAATGAAGTGCAGTTGCACCACAGTGTGCTTTCTCATCAGGATTGGCTCCTTTCTCCAAAAGAAAACTGACTATATCGAAATGGCCTTTGTATGCAGCTATCATTAAGCACGTATTATTGTATTTATTTGCAATGTGAATGTCAGCAAGATGATCTGTTAAATATTTGACAATGTCCAAACGACCATCAAAACACGCAGCACGTAAAGGAGTGGAATTTGTTTTTGTTGGATGGTTCACATTTGCACCAGTTTTCACCAAAGTTTTGACAACATTTAGGTGGCCTGTACCTGGAAATACAAAACACTGTTAATATTACACAGTATGAAATCATACTGAAAACCTGAAGGTTACTGTATTATAAGGCAACTTCCATCACCATGTTACTGATACAAGTAATCAGAGGCTGGTCCACACCCCTTTCATAGTGAGGCTGATGGTGAAACTGTTATCATCCACTTTCCTCACTAATATAAAGCTTGTCCGCAAAATATTTTCAGTATTTCAAAATGTTTTATTTTTGTAACCACCATACATAACTGAATTAACTAAAAAAAACGTAATTAAGCATTTGTAATGTATTTGTGTTAGTGACATTCAACATGTGCTCCCCTTGTGATCTGGTGGATAACACAATACATTTTCTCTTGGCTCAAATTGTTTTCCATCCCAAGGATACTATAATAGGGACCATTTACTGTCTGTCTGAAACATCTCTGAGGGTATGCCATACTTTGAACAGGGACCTCTACTGAAGAAATGTCCCGTGTTCAATAAGATGTCTGGTATGATGATTTTGGTTCCCATATGTTGAAAATAGAATCTAATAACTTTCTATTATTATGTAATGATCTAAGTTACCATTTGATGATGACATATCCTCAGAGATGTTTTAAACGGTTTATACCTTGCTATGCTGGAAAACAATGTTTCTTCCATAACTGAAAGATGAGGAGTTGAAATTTTCCAACAAAAAAAGGTGCAAGAGCTCCATTCAGAAATGTTCTCAAGTTGTAGTAAATGAAAAGTCTCCAGGTTATTGGATGGGGAGAGGTAGTCTAGGTCTGCTGATTTAATTTCCCTTGATTTCCATTTCTGGGGTACATAAGATGTGCAGTTTATGTGGCCACTGGACATGTATACCGTATTCAAAATGTTAAACCACATGATTACAGAAGCTAATGAAATGATAAAACCAGAAAAGTTTGACATGTTTGGGCCAAGACAGAATATCATCTTGATATCTACGCATTACAGGAAATGCACATGTGAAATTTACTAACTCAAATTTTATGTGTGTTTTTTACTTTTTGTTTGATTCAATTTGTTACAAAAATAACACGTCAGAACACCAAATATACTTTGAAGATACCTGTACTAAAGACAAGAGTTTTACAAAACAGTCATTTTATCAAATACATGGTATGGTTTTGACATGTGGTCTCCTACTTCAACAGAATGTGAATTTTATTTGAAAACAAAGTGCTCAAAATATATATGAAACAGAGAGAGATTAAGCAGGCAGGAAATGTTTATATTATACAATGATGAATTTCTTTTATTTAAACAGGTTCATCCAGTATGATAATAGTAGTGAAATCAAGGTTACAATTGGCTTGACATCTAACAAATAATGGGGAGTCAACAAACTCATATAGGAGTTTCGTAAAGTATCACTTAGAAGGCTGAGAGGAAATGGGAGGATAACCTTCAGAGGGAACTAAGGGAAACAGGATGTGAGAATGAGAGAGGGATGAGCTGAACCTTCAGGTTCTAATATCAGAGAGTCAATATTAAGTGTATAATTTACTTAATGTGAAATATAACAAGATGGTGAATTCTAGCAGAACTGATAAAAGCAAGAGATGAAATATTACAATGTGAGATCCATTAACTCATTAATTCTATCTGGAATAAGGAAGGATTAATTACCTTATCAGTGTAAGGAGTACATTAGTGTACCAATTTACAAAAAGGGCGATATAAACTGACTCTAGTAATTATCACTGGATATCACTATCATCAACTTCATAAATAATTTCATCCAATACCCATCTCAAGGGTAAGTTCTCATACAAATTAAATTATTGCATTATTATTAAATTATCAGTATGGGTTTCAATGTTACAAATCAACTACTGACCAGATTTTTTTGCAATCATCAGATACTGGGCAGAAAAAAAGAAGTTATTACGAGTCAGTACATCAGCTATTCATAGACATTGAGAAAGCATATGATTCAGTTAGAAAGGAAGTACTGTACAATATTCTCATAGAGTTTCAGGTAACTTTGAAACTAGTTAGGCTGATTAAAATGAGTGCAAATGAAATGTACAGTAAATCCACACAGGTAAACATTTGTCTGATAATTTTCCTATACAGAATGGTCTAAAACACCAGAGATGCCTCACTGACACTGCTTTTCAACTTTGCTTTAGAATACGCCATTAGGAAGGTCCACGAAGACCAGGTGTGGCTGAAATTAGATGGGACCCATCAGCTGTTGACCTATGCTTATTACATGAATCTACTGGGAGATAATACACATACTACAGAGAAAAACACAGAAACTTTAACTCATGGTAGTAAGGAGGTTGGTCTAGAAATAAACACAGAGAAAATTAAGTATATGTTGCTGTCTTGCCACCAGAATGCAAGGCAAAATCCTGATATAAAGATAAATAACAGATCCTTTGAAAATGTGCACAGTTCAAATATTTGGGGATGACAGTAACACCAAAATTTGGTTAGATAGAAAATTAGGAAGAGACTGAATTCTGGTAATGCTTGCTACCATTCAGTCCAGAACCTTTTGTCTTCTCATCTGCTGTCTAAAAACATAAAAATTAGAATATACAAAACTATAATTTTGCCTGTGATTTTGTATGGGTGTAAAACTTGGTGTCTGACATTAAGGGAAAAACATGGACTGAGGGTGTTTGAGAACAGGGTGCTGAGGAAAATATTTCTACTGAAGAGTAAAGAAATGATAGCAGGTTAGAGTAAACTGTTATGGGGAACTTCATAACTTGTACTCTTTGGCAAGTATAATTACAGTCAAGAAGGATGAGATGGGCAGGGCATGTAGTATCAATGGGGCAAAGAGAAATGCACATACAATATTGGCGAGAAAGCCAGAAGGAAAGACACCACTAGGAAGGCCAAGACATAGGTGGATGGATTATATTAAAATGGATCTTAGAGAAATAGGATGGGGTTATATGGACTCATCTGACTCAGGATAGAGACCAGAGGGGGGCTCTTGTGAACACAGTAATGAACCTCTGGGTTCCATACTATGTTGGGAAGTTCTTCAGCTTTATGAAGTTAGTTAAGTCAACTGACACATGATCAGCTGTGGTAAAAATGCAAATATCACTGTGAATAGTGAGAGAAGCAGCAAATATATTCATGCAAGCAGTTGGTACTGCTAACACTAGGCTAGGCAAAACATGCCATGATATTTGAAGTGAGGTCATTCCTTCCATACATTATTTCATGTTTACTACAGCTATCAAATGATGCTTAAATCATATCTTGTCAACAGGTTCATCATCATTTTAATTACAAATGAACAGGTTCCATGACAAAGTTTACTGATGTGATCAAGTGCCCTGTCCAAGACAAGACAGTTTTCTATTGTAGCATGTAACCTGTTACTGGGTTATGACAGTGAAACAAACAACGGAACAATGTTGGCTGCTATGCAGCAGATTCTTCACAGCAGCAATTGAACTACAACAGTGGGGAATGGCGTTTTATGAGCGGTCTATGCTGAGATGTTATGAGCAGAACAGTTTGAAGCAAGGAGGACAGGTGTGGATACAATTATACATGCTGAGGAGCATGCATGCACATGCTCTCACTCTTTCTGTGTGTGTGTGTGTGTGACAGTGAACCACAAAGTGTATTAACAGTTGTGCATTGAAGTGGTCAATAAATCCAATCTCCAAACCAAACCCCATCTATAATCATTCTATCACGATATAACTGGTGTCAGATGTGGGATAGGACCAATCGAGTGGATTGAATTGTTGAACTGAAGACTGCAGTAGACAACCGTGTTGTTTCAAAGAGAAGCAACAGGGGGTTTGCACACCAACTGATAACAGTGAAATGTTACTTGCAGCAGTCTTGAAGTCACGGGCCATGCCTGTAATGATATAGAAATCACTGAGATCTTAAGTTCTAACCATAAATCACTGCTGGCAGGAGATGTGAATGCTAAACATCCATTTTGGAATAATGAATTTTTCCATCACTTCAGACACGAAACTAATATTTTTACTGTATATAAGTGAGTTTGAAATTTCAGCACCACAGTGTCCTGCTCATTACTCTCCTACAGGAAATGGTGACATGTGTCAGATTGTGCACAAGAATGTCTGGCTGTCAGAAATCATTGCCTCTGATATTCTGAACTCAGATCACCTACCAATCATTTTCCACTTGCTGGATCATATTAGAAGTAAAAATCTTTCAGACCCAGCTGACAAATTCGGAGAGTGGGAGCAGTTTCAAAGCTTGGATTCAGAAATAATTTCACCTAGAATCCAAATTAACTCGGAGGGTGAAGCTGGTAAAGGGGCCCACAAATTTACTGCCTCTATAGCTTTGGAGTACAGGCTATCGACAAGTAAAATTATGCTCTCAGACCTTAATAAGGAAATACTTGGTCTGGAAAGTTTGCTAAAACATAAGCAAAGATTAAGGAAACTGTGGCAATTAACCTGGGATCTAGCATGTAAAACAGCATTCAATTGGATCACAAAAACCATCAGACGAATGACTCGTAGAAAGGCACTCAAATGGTGGGAAACAAAAGTAGGGAACTGCGAGGTCATACCTGAAGCTCTGTAGCCTACTGCAAAAATGCTTATGAAAAGGGATGGACAAGAGGCACCAACCACTGTTCATGGACCTTTAGGAATAACATATCACCAAGACAAGAAAGCCAATGTGATAGCCGATTAAACCAATCCATATCTCGTGACCTGTGTGAGGAAAACCACATGTGACAGGTGGAGACTACACTCCAAGCTCTGATTGCATCTGCAGAAGGCACTCTGTTGGGGAAAGTAAGTCCTTGTGACATACATAAATTAACAAATTCATTAAAACTGAGAAAGCCTTGTGGACTTGATGATATTCCAAACAAGTGCCTTAGGCAGCTTCCAAGAAGATCACTGGTACATCTGACACAGTTATTTAATCACTGCCTTCAACTGTCCAATTTTCCAAAGCCTTGAAGGAAGTAAAAGTTATAACATTACTTAAACCCGGTAAGGAC